GGACATTCATTCATTCACTTCATTAAAAGCTTTTGATTATCAGTGTCCCAATTCCAGATTCTCAGTCAATCCAGGGCTTTCCTCGAGGTGAGGGCGAAGTGCGAACTGAAGGTGATGGTCCTGATGGATGAACACCTACCTTCTGGATAGAACATTACACCAACCAGTCCTCTCTCTGTATCATATCCCACCCTTATATTCAGATTAATTTAAAAAGATTTTTCTCATTTTGTATTTGTAAGAGCAAATATAGATTAAGAATCAATAAATAAAATCGAAACAACAATTAATATCATTAATTTGAGTTTTTCTATCATGTGTCCTTCACTGGAAAAAGAACTCTTCAATTATTTTATCATTTTTTAGTGCAAATTATCGTAAATGTGGATATCACAAATACTACTTTAGTGTAAATTGTCGTAATAGACAATATCGTAAGTACACTTATTATATAATTTATAATTAATTTGTATAAAAAAATATAAATATTAATTTTAATTTAATCAATTCATTAATTAAAATTATCCACATAATAATGGTATTAAAATAAAAGTTATCTTTTGTAATTTTTTTATGTAAATTAATTTAAAATGATGCATTTGTTACACTATTAAGAATACAAATTAGACAAATCCTCACTAATTAAATAGTCAATTATTTTTAGTGTTCTTCTAACTTGTGCTTTTGTATTTAATTATTGTATCTTTTTATTATTAATTTGTATAAAAAATTATAAGTGTAATATTTTTTTCAATATCAATAATACTTAACAATTAATAAAATTTAAGTGAACTATTATTTTTTATACAAATTAACAATAAAAAGATACAATAAATGGGTCTTTAAATCATCAATCTTACCATACTCTTGCGGTATGGCAAATCCCCATTTTTTCAATTCAACCCTGCTGCAATACTACAAAGTTCAACAAGCCTTTTGATAGAACCTTTGATCAGGTTTGGAGCTTCGTTGTACTTATATATCACATGACCGACGCATATAGGTACAGTTGGTCACGTGCTTGGAATCAGATTTTTGTTGTGTTTTCATAACAACCATCATATATACAAACATCAGACTGCTCTTCTACTGTATTTTCTTTTCTTGTCTTTCTCTAACTCTAGTATAATGTTCAATCGCTTTAATTACCCAAAGAAAAAGAGCAAAATTAAATTTTTATAAAATGTATAAAAATATGTCTGTCTAACAATTTAAATTACATCAAATTATAAAATACATTAAATGAAAAGACAACTCTCAATAACAAAAAATTCACTCTCCATCCCATAAAAGAGAGGAACACCTTTTTGATGTATAAATTGATCAAGATATTGAATTTAAGTGTGCTATGTATATTTTTTTTTCCCTAGCTAGCTTGGAGATGGTGCTGGCATTGTAATTGGTAGTCCAACAACTTAGCTCATTGCATCCTCATGACCTCATTTGCCTCTGATTTTTCTTGACCCATTATCAAATTTTGATTTTATTTTCAATTCTCCCATGACAGTGTCGGAGACTCTCATTTTATCATAGTTGTCTGAATGGACCACATTTTTTGCCCATTTTATAAATTTCTGGTTCTCCTCCTAATTTGTTCTGACTCTTCCTAACATTTGACAGGGAGAGATGCTCTTTCGGGGGAGGTTCGTCAATTGTCAAGGTACTCATTAATTGAATATCAGAAACTTTTAAACTGAACAAAACGTCTACATCGTACCCATATTAATAAAATTCCCTTTCATTAGGGAAGAAGGAATCTCCCATTCATATTATTAGTAATTAATTAGGCATGTGAAATTGATGTTTATTAGAGAGAATTAATTCCATAATTGATTCAATGGTCAGCTTTCCTGCTTGGAAACCGATTGTGTTTTTGCCACTCTGCCTTTGTCTCATTCCCCATGTCCCATGAGGCCTTTCAACAAAGAATATAATATTTTAATTAACCAATAAAAAAGCAACTTTCAATATCTAAAGACTTGTTTTTTATTTAATAATTTAAATAGTATATTAAACTATAAATTTTTTTTTTAATTAATTGAGCAGGATGATATTTCTCTAAGCCAGTGGCGTGATGGTACTAAAAAGGTTGATCGAGAATGAAACAAATCCTTTTACCAATCAGATTAATCTCATATGTGACATTTATTTTTTATATGCAAGGAAAGAATTAAAGGAATACTTTATTACGATAACTACATGCGGCTTGTTCTTACTGGTGAAATATCTTATCTTACCCACTGAGAAGGAATGCATGTGTGCGGAGGATGAGAGAAAGAACAAGAGGAAAAGTTCAGAGGAAAATCTGGGGAAAAACAGACGAGGGTCCATTGGAGAGCATATTGATTCCAAGTGTAAGCTGCAGAGGGTCAGGGTATTCAGGCGCTGTTAAATAATGATTGAGATGGAGACCATGTGAGGTCATGAAGGCATATGGGAGGATTCAAAGATTTTTTTTTCCAAAGAAACAAAGGAGACAGCTTGAAGGAGAAACGACATTCCTGGAATCTTAAAGATAGCCGGAGATTTTGTAATGTAAGGACGCATTTGGCGTCTTTAGCAGCCATTGATAATTCAACATTTTTCCTTCTTCCCTATCGCAATTGTCCATTCTTTTTTAATTGGTACTTATAATCATAGTTGTTAGTATCGTTTTATACTAGTTGATATGTATCAATTTTTTTATTAAACCAAAACGGTAGAAAGTTTACTTTCATTTTTGATCAAATTCGTTCATTTCGATCAAATTCTAATGTATTCAATGTATTGGTCAATATATACACCGAACAAAAGTTGTACAAATCAATTCGAATTTAAAAATAATAAATTTCATTTTTGATTCTCAACTTCAATATTTTGCATAATTTTCATCCTTTAACTTTTCATCTACTCTTTTAGTCCATCAATTATGAAAAATATATTTCTTTAGTCATTCTATCAATTACTCCATTAAGTTTATCTAAATATATACATTTTTAATCTCTTAATTTAAAGTGGAAGAACGAAAATTATGCATATACTAGAAATTGATGGACTAAAAATGTGTATTTTTAATTCATTTTGACAATTTCAAATTTAAACTTCTAATTCTCAGTACTCACCGGTTGCTGCTCTTTCTTCTCATTTATGTTTTGATTTGTTTTTTGCATTCTTGTTATACTTAGAAGGCATGATTTCTTTCATTGTAGAAGTATTTTGTATTATGAATTGTATAATATTAAATTTAGAACTCTATTATATCACCTTAATGCTAAAAAAAAAGAAAACAATTATAGATGTTTTATAAAGTTGGTTATTTTAAACTTATTTTCAATTTATAGGAATGTGATAGTTTTAAATATTAATTTATTTTATCATTATTTTAAATTTTGATATTTAATTTATAAAAATATATATTTGTAGTAATAAATCCGAAACGATTCGTGAAAACTTTCAATATCTGGTACGTACCGTTTTAGTAATAAAACCAATACGTATGCTAGTATGGTATTAACAACTTTGTCTATAGTAAATGTGTTATATAATAAAAACTAATATTTTTTTCACTAAGTTTACTCTTTAATCGTCTCATATTTAAACTTAAAATTTCTAAATTCTAATCTGTAATCACTGTTCATCTGGGTTTCTGTTTTTGGGCAGCTTTTATGCACGTATTGCAGTGCAAGAAAATTATTAGTAATTATTATTATTATTATTATTATTATTAAAACTCTAGTTTAGTTTGTAGATAAAAGATAAATGTTTCAAGTACAAGCCCAAAACTTGACTGCATCCCTATAAAGCCCAAAATCAGTTACAGAAGGCCAGAAAGTTTCCTAATTTGGGCCTATCACTTGAGGCAGACATCTTGAGTTGCGTAACATTCTGGGCCTGACGAGGGTAGCTACTAGTTTTACTAACTCGTTCAATTTATATTTTTCCAGTTCTAAAATCTCTTAATTGATTGTGAGAAGTAGAGAACTGTCTTCCTCTTCCCCGAACTTAATCTCGCCGGTGTAGGTCTCGTTCTTGCAGAGGGAAGAGAGAAGATTAGAATCAAGCAACAATGACAATGTTTCACTTCTTCAACTGCGCGATTCTCACCTTCGGCCCTCACGCCGTCTACTACTCAGCTACTCCGCTGTAAGTCCTTTCTTCTTCCTCTTTATGTCGCTCTTTTGATTTCTACTTGCTTTATTTTCCATGTAATTTGCAAGTCTGCCTTCGATTCGGAGCTCATTTCATCACTGGAATATCGTTTAATTTCATTTCGAAAAGTTAAAATCTGTCTTGTATCACGATCTGCTCATTAAATTCTTTGCTACCTTAGCAAATTAGAGTTATGGCTTAAAACTATTTAGTAGTGATATCCGATTATTTAAGATCTGGTCTACAAATCATGAACACTGAGGTGGAAATTGGTGGAAACTGTGAATTAGCTATTTCTTTTTCTTTTTTGATTTGATTCTAATCATTAGAAGAGAAAATTATTTGATAAAGTTCGTAGTTTGAGTTAATAATTTGTTCGAATAAGTTTTCTTTTTTCTGTTTGTGGTTGAATTTTATATTGCGTTCAATACTTACGTGAGAATAAGATTGATGTGAGTTGAAAATGCGGTGCTCTAACTATTATGTGATGATGAGAGATGTGTCTTGATTTCTTAATTTTAAATTTATACGGTTTTATGATATATAGCATTGTCTCACAGGATGACTGTATTTGCAGATCAGAGTATGATACTCTTGGTACCTCGGTTAAAGCTGCCCTTGTTTATCTTGGAACAGCTTTGGTAAAGGTTGGTGAAACTTGTAAAAGCAGCAATGCCTTGAGATTTATTTCTTAAAGCCTTCATTTTAGTGCTTACTGCTTAGCTTGTGTTGGACTAGCAGTTCTGTAGTTTACTTGCTCGTGCTTTTTCTGGCTTCCTGTGAGCTTGATGCTCTCTTTAACCATAATTTGGATGCTTGCAGCTTGTATGCCTGGCAACATTCCTTAAGGTATCTGAGAGTGATGGATTTGATCCATACCAGGTACATGCCTTTTGACTTGAATTGGAGTATTTGGAATCTACCTGGAGAAATGAAAATGATTTTTATTATTCTTATATATATATATATATATATATATTTATAAAGATTTGATTTTGGTTTCTGATAGTTGGAATTCTCTTTTAATTTAGTTGGTGAGAACCAGTGTTAAATTTAGCCTGGAACTAATCTAAAAACTTTACTTTCTTGCCCTTTTTTTTCATCAGGAATTGTTGAAAGCATTAATTGGTTTTATAGATGTTGCTGGGCTTTACTTTGCCTTAACCCAGTTGACTCACAGAAATATCTCCCAAAATCATAAGTTTCAAGCTGTTGGGCTTGGTGAGTGAATTTGTGATAATCATGTCCATTTTGTGATTTTTTTCCCCATGTAAATAAATGCTATTATTAACAAGATCATCTCACATGGTAGAAGCTGAATGTTTTGAATCATTAATGGAGCAGTATGTGATTTTTATTGTAAAGAGTATAAAACAAATGGAATATCAAAATAAGTAATAAAGCAGTGTTATGTTCACCATAAAAAAGCATGATGTTTGAATCAATTTAAAAGAAGTTTGAAAGTACTCAGTGGTACCCCTTTAAGCATGGTTGATAGAGAAGCTTGTGTTGTGTCATTTTTATCAGTCAGCTCAGTTGCTGAGATTTTTGAGTAGATATTAATGCATTTTCCTGATTTTGGAATAAATTGTTGCTAGAGCTATCTGCCATTCACATTTTCTCATGAACAATCATGAAAGTGCATTTCCACAAGTTATATCTCTATTTTCTCAGTTGTGAAACTATGAATGGAGCAGCAACTCTAAGAATTCTTCTGATGATCATTTGCTTAACATGAATTAACCATCCTTATTCAACTTATCCATGTTTGCAGGCTGGGCTTTTGCTGATTCTGTTCTACATAGATTGGCACCTCTTTGGGTTGGAGCTAGGGGACTAGAATTCACATGGGATTATATTTTGCAAGGCCTTGAAGCAAATGCAAATTTGGTACATCTTTTAGTACTTTTTAATTTGTAATTCATAACTGCCTTGTTTCCTTACCTCCCCTGTAATTGATATCTGTATCTTTTCCTGACTTCAGGTGTTGAGTATTTCACTTGCAGCACTGGGGTCCTTGATGTGGCTCCGAAAAAACAAGCCCAAGACATTAATTCCAATAATATATGCATGTGCTGGAATTGTGGCAACAATGCCTTCCATTACAAGGTTTAAACCTCAGACCTTATCAAAACGTTTTTGAAGTCATGCATATCTTTTACCATGTGCTAGTTTGTGACAATATGAGCTAGGATCTATATATATACCCTTTAATTTACTCAAGCCTTAATACCATAATCCACCATCACAAGCTAATCCTCCAAATCTTGGTTTTTTGCAGCTATTTAAGGCGAGGGTTAGGGTGGCACTTTCCAGAGGTGGTTGGCTTTGAAATATTCACATCTCTGGTGATGGCCTTCATTAGTTGGCAACTGTTTTCTGCATGTCAAAAACCCTCTATATGAACCTTGCTTACTCCTCCTGAGGCAGTTGGTTAAAGGACATAATTTGTTTTCAAAAGTCCCATCCAAAATCAGTCTTCCCCCACGGCTTTGAAGAAATCTATTCTTTGTTAATTTGTAGAATTTCTTCATAATCAGGTTTACTCTATATTTTTTCAGATATATTGTATCACCAGAATGCTGAACTAGAATGATGATATTTCAGAATATCAAGCCTCTGTTTTTGTACGATACGTTCTTTTTTATGATAACATAAAATGACAATTTAAAGTAGTCTAAGTATAAATTCTGTACATTTGTTTGTTTTCTTTTTATTTTTTTGGTGCAAAAGGGATATATTATAAATGCAAATTAGCAAGTGCGATATACAGTGTTTGTTTTCTCATAGCAAAAGAAAAATCAGTGTGTAGCTTTCTTGTTATCCACTCCAATTTATGTGAACATGAATCTCTCAGATGCTTCTCTCTAGATTGCAGATTGATTGGATTAAATGTATTGCAATTTATCAAATGAAAAAGTATTTTACCGTTTTGGACGGTAAAACGCTGACTCTTAAATGAGGAGAGCTCCCTATCTATAGAACTTCTTTTATAGTCTAGAGCAGTGTGACGGTAAAAAACAGTGCACCCTTTTCAAAACTGAAAATCTCCATAAGCTATGACAATGATCATTAAACAAAAAGAATTCAGCTTATTAGCATTACAAGAAGGATGATGAACTCTTCATTAGTACTGGATTAAATCTTCTATACTACACGGCTTACTCTGATTCTTCCAAAGAAGCTTCAATGCGCAAAAGAACAAACCCAATGGCAACCCCGATCAGAACAAGCCCGTTCATGATGGCTGCGATCTTGAATATCTCACCCGCCTCATTGCATTGAGCGGAGAGTACACCGCCGCCTCTTCTTCCTTTCCCATGTGCCTTTTTTAAGGAGTTTATAACTTTAGCAAAGTGCTGTTCCGTGCACTCAGGCAGACCGAGAGAGAAGACACTGTTGTGGGCTTTGAGACCTTCGTAGCAATTCATTCCTTTCACATACACCACTCTGTTCTTCCTCTGTTCGCTTTTGCTGCCATAGCTTGCCCCAGCACCGGTGACTGTTGCCAGAGAGAGAGCAGCTGATGCTGTTGCCATTTCCAAAAAGGGTTAGGGAATACCTGAGACTGGAATTGTGAGTAGTTGCAGTAAGAGGTGAGGGAGAAGGGGTACTGCCAAATTGCCGATGAAGTACGGACTATGGAGGAAAGAGGACAGATTTTGGATAAGGAGAGGTAAATTATAATTGGCTGAGTTTCTGTCAATGGAACGAGATAAGATGTATGCAAAAGAAGTGGGTCTTCATGGGTTCCCCACTTGGAGTGGGGTTGGGCCCGTTCTTCTTATCCTTGGGTTAAAGCCTGCTGTAGTCCTCGTACTTTATAAAAATGTTCAATGTCATCCCTCTACTTTCTTTTCAATATAAATGTCATTCATCTACTAGACCTTTTTTGTTCAATGTCACCCTTAATCGGATGCCATCCACAATTTTGTTAACTTTGACCGTTAATTGCCCAACAATCAAACATTTCACTTTTATTTATTAATTTTTTGCCCAACTAATGGGGCCATTCTTTTTTTCATTTTTTTTTTTACTCTTACTTTTATTTCTCTCTTTCTTCCTTACTACCATTTTCCCTAAACTAGCAACAACAAAAACCCTTACTCTTCTTCACTACCTTCACCCAATTAGTTGCTCCTTTTCTTCACCTTTCTTCACCAACTTTCCATCTTTCTTTCTTTCTTCACCATCTTTACTCCAACCCACAAAACCCTACACCCAAAATTGATGAACCCAAAACTACCAAAAATCATCTTACTTTTCTTCACCAATCAAGGAATCACTCAACCCAGAATGTATTTGAGCAATTCCCATCAACCACAATTTCAATTTGGTTCTCCATCTAGACAATCTCCATCTCAATTTGGTGAGTTTGTGGGTCTTCACAAATGTGGTCTTCGATCAACTAAAAGAACTATTTTAACGTGGTTGAACTATGGTCAAAGGTTCTGGGGATGTCCAAATTATTTAATAAGATTTGATCGTTAATTATATTGTTAATTTTAGGTTGGTAACAACTACTGTTAACCATGGTTTCCTTGTTGATTTTGGGTTTGTGATATCTGTAATTAATTGTGGATTTTTTTGTTGATTTTGGGTTGGTGGTATCTGTTGTTATATTATGGTTGATTTGGATTTTGATATAGTTAGTTTTTATTTATATTGTTATAAAGGGATGATAAGGAATTTGGTTACACATGTACCACAATATCAAGATCCATGTAAACAAAAATCCAATTGTAAATTTTTCATTTGGTTTGATGTGAACAGAAATCCATTTGAACATGTTGCTAGGACAAGGAGCAAACATTGATGAATGAGGTCTTGCAATTGAAAATAGAGACGCTGGACTACATAGAAAGATTGACAATTTGAAGAATTTAAACTCTGAAATGGTAAAAAAACCTCAAGGATCATGAGGCAATTGCCTTAAGTTGATTGAATTTGAAAATGTGTTTTCTCCAGTATTGTTTATTTGGCAATTAAGTTATGTTAGGTATATGCTTTTGTAAAGGGTCTTTTTAATGCCTATTTTGGCCCCATTCTTTTTTTTTTTTTTTTTTTTTGCCACTTCCTCTATTATCATTTTTTTTCACTCCATATCCTCTGTAAGTTGTTGATTGTTCTAGTAACGGGTTAAAGCCAGAAAGAATAATATAGAATCAAAAAAAAAAAAAAAAAGGAATTGATCCCACTAGTCCCATTAATCCTACTAGGTAGATAAAAAATTAATAAACAATAGCTAAATGTTTAACCATTGGGCAATTAATGGTCAAAGTTAATGAAAATGTGGATACCATCCAATTAAAGGTGACATTGAATAAAAAAACTGTAATAAAGGGATGACATTTATATGTAAGGAAAGTAGAAGGATGACATTGAACATTTTTTTAGTAGAAGGATGGTAATGAACATTTTCACAAAGCACGAGAACTACAATTGGCTTTAATCCTCTCAACCTTGTTGAAAATTCAGGCATCATAAAAAAAAATAAAAAATAAAAAATAAAAAAAATTACAAACTAATTGATGACATGTAATGTTAATATACATGTAAATGGAGACAACTCTAAACTAGTACTGTAATCCAATCTAGTATTCTCACGAAAGAAGAAACATAAACTTTGTCATAATATTATATGTTTTATAGCAACAAATTCAAAGGTAACTGAAGTAACTCTGCTTCCTTTAATCCTACAACTAAAAGGCATTCAATGTTTTCCTTTTTGTGGCCTTCGAATGGCATTCAAAGTTCAAATCCCAAAAAATACAAAAGGAACTGATAACAGTCATAAGGTCCCTGCATGGGAACTGCTGCTAACCACTGGCCCTACCACCCTGGGACAAACCTATACAACTTCAGCATCAACCGGGAGGCACTTCGTTGAGAGGAAGCACTGCTTGTAAAACAGGGAAAATTTTAACATCCAGGATGAGAGGTTTAGATGCTGGATTGGCGCATTCAAATACACATACATCATGTTCGTCCAAGTTGTTATCCATGGCAAAATTTCGCCAACCAGCAGTGAGTCCTCCATAACCTCGAGATGTGTAATAAGTAAATCTCGTCTGCCATGTATTATCATTGAGACGTAGAATCACGTCTTGGAGTTCTAAAGCCATGAATCTACTCATCCATCCAACAGGAATTGCCTGAACCAAATAAAAATACATATAAAAGATTCATCAATAAGCTTATGAAATCACAATATATTGATATTTTTATATAAAATTAAGACTTAAATAAGGAGGAAAACTACATATAAAAAATTAAGACTTACCATAAAATATTTTCTCTTCACATGTGTGGGTTTCATAACTATTAAGAAACCTTCGCTACTTACTACTGATTGTCCCAATAGCAAGGCATTCCTCTTCTGATCTTCAGTTACAAGCCTTCCATGTGATGTTTGCAGAGGGCTATGCTCCAGATTTCCGTTGATAAACATATTTTCTGATTCTGAATCTATTCAGTAAAACAAAAATGCAATCTTCAATCATGCCATATGCATATTCAGCAATAGAAAGTACCACATTTACCTAACTACAACAAATTAGATGCGGTGCACAAAAAATTTTCAAGAAATTTTCCAATGAAGCACCGAGATGCAAAGACCAAAACATAGCTGTGATGAACAAGAAGAGCAGGGAACAGAGACAAAGGTATATCATTATTCACTATGGACAGTATTCTTCCCATTGAACTGAGGGAAATGTCCTTACCATGTTTGACCTGGAATTCTCTAGCAGGTCTATAGACTTGTTTATCTCCTACTTTCCACTTAGATTGGATGGGCCTACGAGAAGAATTTCCAATCCACTTCTTCTTATTAGTTGGTGTAGATAAGACTGGCTGCTGTAAATGCACCTGGTCAATGTCATTTTCCTCAGACTTCTCTGGAGTGCGTTCAAGATCATCTTCTGAGGAAGTGTGTGTAATTTCAACAAGATAGTCTTTCACTTTCCTTTTTGTTTGGCTTCCACTGTCATGTTCTGCATGCACACATTTTTTCACAAAATATGAAGAAGCCTTCTCACACAAGCTCAGTCCATCAAACATTAGAACGTCGAAGTGGGACACCCCATTGTACTTAAAGGTTAGGAAGTCATTCTTTTTTAAGGAATGATCTCTTACAAAAGTTGACCACCCGCGATCAAAGAACAAGGTATCCTCATCTTTTGTCAATCCTACATCCCAGGTAAAACCACTTGGACCTTTAAGAGTCACGGTATCCGGGAGCTTTTTCTTTAAGTGTTTAGCAAATTTTTCTGGTATTGCCTGCAGTTTCATCATCATCAAAAAGTAAGGTGAAATATGATAGGTGGAAAAATCAATAATGTAGGATCACAAGAAGGAATCATCAGTCAATATATTATTGGCAGAACAAAGAATACCAGCATCAGTAAAATGAAAACATCATAGATTCAAAGTTCTCTTAGAATTCCAAAGCTACAGCTGAAAAGAAACCAGAAAAGCATGTTCTTCTAACTAACGAGTAACAGAAAAATGCTTGGCATACAGTACTAGCCACCGACTATAATCAGTACGGTTTAAATACAGGAACAATCATACCAACATTATAGTACTCTGCTAGATGATAGGAAAACCCCACTTGAAGGCTTTTCTAAAGCACTTAAAAATATAGTACAGCAATGGAGAAAAAGCCCTGTTTAGGTGTTTGTCCTATGCATTTGCCAATTTTTTATCCCAATACCCCAACACTCTTACATCTTAAAACCAGAATACCATTGCAGAAAAATACCCAAAATGTTGAGGTCAGACATTGGAATGGGAACAAGATCATTCTATGCAATGTCTAGGTCTACAAGTCCAAAAGCTGCTTGATTTAAAAAAATTCCCGTTCACTTAAAAATATAGAAAAATCTTGGACAGAGATGAAAAAAACCTTACAAGCTGGTAATTAAAACCATCACGGAGAAATTGAGTGAAACGCACGGACTGAAAATGGTTCCAAAACATTTGCTCTTCCCAAGTTTTACAATCACCAGAATTTTCATCCATTTGGGTTGGCCGTACAGCTGTGTACCCAATTCAGGAATAAGGAAAACTGTGAGTCCCGGAGGCAAAATTCAGTAAATTTCAGAAAACCCAACAAAGGAAGAAACAACTTGATTGGAATTTTATCGATACATCCTCACTCATAGCATCAACAAAAACAAAATGAAAAATACTCACCCTAGAATTCCAGGAGTTTCCTCGCTTTTCAGTAGTGAGCACCAACAGTAAAGGGTCAAAGAAGAACACTTTACTCTTCAAGATAATGCAAAATGGAAACTTTACGAAGCCCTTACGGCAACACCTGCTCCGGGACCTTGGGTTAGGAGATTGAATGCATTTCCTTACTGATTTTACAGAGAATCAAAAAGCCACTAATGAAGAATAGTGAAGGGATGAAGAGGATTGCGCCTGAGCTTGGCCTGATGGGAGTTGGGAGCCATGGATCGTTGGCAGTCGCCAGTCACCACTGCCTCAAATGATGAAACCGTTCGGCCAATAGCTTACACTCCACTCGAGTTGGGAATTTGCCGAATTGGGATGAGAGCGTAAAGATCCTCTTTCTCGTCTTCCGGGCTCGGGCCGGGATTCTCCGACTGCACCGAATGTTTCTCCTTTGGCCACGTTAGCATCCAGATTTTAGCAAAAAAGGAAAAAGCATTGTTAAGCCCCTGAACCTATTTCATTTAAGTACATCAGTCCCAAACAAAAATTCGTGCATATAACCATAAGCCATCGAACCGCCTAATTTATGCAAATCAGCACCAAAATTAATTGTCCCATTAATGTCCTAGAAAACTTTGCACTTTAAAAAATCGTCCGTTAATGAAACTGATGTGAGTTACAAAAAAAATTGAACAATTTCAAAGAAAACACAATTCCAATTCACTTATCATTTTTTATTTAATTGTATTTATCATCAATTTTTACATATTTTTATATAAGCATAACTATTAAAGTGTGACAAATAAAATATAATAAAAAATTAACGTCAATGTAACAGCAATTCTAATGCTAAAAAGAAATGGTTAAGTAATTATTCCCTTTAGATAGAAAGCCCTAAGTTGCAATCTTAAGAGATAATTAGAAGTAGAGTGGATAATTAATGTTATAATATCAGCATTAATTTTAAAATATTAATATGTATATTAAAATCATGTTTACATTATAATTTATTGTACACATTTAAGTTAATTACTTTTATACTTAAAAATATTTTATTATATAAATTTATATATAATACCTTTCTATATACAATAACCACAAAACAGATAAAAACTTTTCTTTTTAAGTATTTCTCTTTTTTTCTTCTTTTCAGTTTCTAACAGATAAAAAGTATAAAAAATCCTAAATTCAACTAGTAAAGAGCAAGTGGCAGCGTTAGCTTCACTGATGCCCAAAGATTGTGTACAAAACAAGTCGCCCCCCCCCCCCCCCCCCCCAAAAAAAATAGAGGCCCTTATTCCATGCATACTTTTTCACTAGACTGGATAATCATTAGACGAAGTGATCCAATACATCCATGAAAACAACCCATTATAAAAACCATTAGCTTTAGCTATTACAAACTAACACAAACAAGCATGCATGTTCAAAAGATTAGCCAACACCAACTACATTGATGCCCTAACAATTCTGCCCCTGTGGTTCATTACGAAATATCCTAACAGTAAGAATTGAAATTCCATCATCACTTCGAGTACCCGCAGGATTAAAAAGACACACATCTGACACTTCAAGGCAGTACTGACGAGCAAACTCCTTCCAGCCAGAAGTAAGTTCTGCATACTTGTGCATTTCATTGATATACAACAGAACTTGCTGCATTTGCATGTCCATACTCAAAAGCACTTTCTTAGCCTTTCTGGATTGCTCTGATAGATGCTCGGCAACCCATTTGAGACTCATCCGCTGCATGATCACGGTAAGACAACACAACCCAAATCGACATTCAGACCACTATATTCAATAAAAACAAGTATTGTGTGGTTTAACTTAAACATTGAATGAAGTTGAACACTCTGATATTAGGAGCTATATATCCTCCGTATAATGGTTTGTTTTGTAGTCTAATTTATCACACAACTCAACTAATGCATCCACAAACCACAAAAGCATAACATAACATTTTCATTCAACAAGTGTAAAACTCGAGGAAATTATAAATTTACCACCCGGTAAGGTCGATCAACATGACATTTCGTAATAATCACAACGTTACTGATGCCTGGGATTTGTTCTGCTCGTGCTCGCCGCAAGGCAATATTATTGTCTGTCTTGATTGCTCTACGCCTTCCTCGTTGTTTTCCCTTACTTGATTTTCCTGCATCTGAACTAGTAGATTCTTTGTAGGAGCAAAGAAGACATAAAACCCATCAGTATACTGTTTATGTATGAAAATTAAAAAAAATTTCAACATATTAATTAAAAACTTGTTAGTGACATATATAGGAAGTATTACCACTAAGACTAAGAGGGAGAATAAATTCATCATCTTGGGTGAAATTGCTATTAATTTCAACATTTCCCCTGATTCTTCTACGACTCCCCTGGGCTCTGTTCTCATCTGTAAAGACTCCAACTCCTACAGGTCCCTTCGTCTTTCTTTTCCTCAAGTGATTGTCATTTTCTTGTGCATCAAACAGCTTGACAAAGAAAGATCCTACCTTTTCACAACAGGTACTGTGATCTAATATCGTCAACACATCGAAACGGGATGAGGAGATATTGTATTCGAACACCAGAATATCATCTTCTTCCAATAGATGGTCTTCAACAAAATCTTTCCAACCTTCATTGAAGAACAAAGTACCATTTATGTTACTAATTCCTACTTTCCAAGTTGCACCCCCTGGACCCGTGAGAGAAACATTGTCAGGCAGTTTTCTCCCTCCTTCTTCCAGATTCTGCACAAACGTTTTGGGGATTTTCTGCAATATCGAGTAGATAATAAAAAAATTGTTTAAAAAAAAAAAGGGAAAAAAGAAATACGCACACATAGAAGAATTAAGCACAGGGAGTGAAAGAAAAAAGATTATTACGAGTTGGTCATGGAAATTGTGGGAGAGAGGAGACCCGAAAATCATTCGCCGGAAATATTTGCGATAAAAAGTCTGCTGCAATTTCCTGACGCTTCCGTTGCTCGTTTCTTCCATTACAGAGAAAGGGAAAAACTGGAAAATTCTCAGAGAAGAACAAAGTTTTTGAGTTTCCCTTCCGTTTACCCCACTCTCAAATTCTTTTGGCATCAACAACGAACAGCCATGGGTTTAGGGCTGTTTGGTATTCCCTCCGGGCAGCAGTTGTCTCCGGGGAAACTGTGAGTC